TGGTTCTTTGAGATCAATAAAACTGATAAACCTCTTTCCAGAAGACCCACCCATTTTTCTCTTGCTGCTTTCAAAATTTTCTCCTTGTTTTTTAATTTCAGCATTTTTACTCCAATGTGTGTCTGTAGATCTCTTTGCAATTACCCTACTTGGAGTTTACTGAGCTTCCTGGATGTGTAAGTTATTGTTTCAGTAAGTTTAGGAAGTTCTTTGCCACTATTTATTAGAATATTTTCTCTTCTCCTTTCTCTCCTCACTTTCTGGTACTCCTATTATGCATATGTTGGTGCACTTAATGGTGTCTCTCATTTCTCTCAGGCTCTGTTTTTCTTCATTCTTTTTTTATCTCTGTTCTTTCATTTGCATAATCTCTGACCCATCTTCCAGTTCAGTAATTCCTTGTAACAGCCACACAGAACTCACAGATCATACTAATAGTTATATGGTCTATTAGGGAAGTAACAAGCTACAACTCAGGATCAGGATCAACTTGAAAGTAACAGGAACAACTCAGGATCAGGTTAGGAAGCACACAGGCAAGGTCTGGAAGGTCTCCAAAGTGGTCATCCCTCCCTTCTTCAGTGCAGGACAGCTTCTGACCAGGACAGCTCTCGGAGCAAAAAGGCTCATGGAGTAGATAAGCTGTCCGTTGGAACAGCTCTAAGACTATTCTTGGCCAGCACCACTGCCCTCCTCCTGTGATGAGTGAGTGTGGCTTCTCTGTTGGCAGCCACCTTCTCTTCCAGGCAACTGCCTTCTCTGCCAGGCAGCTGCCCTCTCTGCTGTGCAGGCCTCTCTGCTGTTAGGCTGTTGGCCACTGGGCTCCCCACTGTCAGTCTCTCTGCTGTCAGCTTCTCTGCCACTAACTGGCCTAACTAATAGCCAGTGTGGCAGCCCACTTTTTTTTTTGTTCCAAAAGTGAGTGTTTATTTAGAATAAGAATAGAAAAGGGCTTAAGCTTCATCTACTAGCAGAACAATGGCGAGATCTGACCACCTTCCTCTCCTGAGGCACAGGGACGTTCACCCACCTCCACTTCAGCCAGGACTCCAAGGCTCGTGAGGCACACCACTGACCACAAATGAGGAATGAGGAGAGGCCATATAGAGCTTTCTCCCTCCTCAGCTCCCCATAGGTCCCTCATACCAGTGATGGTGTTCTACCTCTAAGCTTCCAGCCACCGGGCTGGGGGTCTGCAAGCCAGCCCTACTCCAGGGACCCACCCACAGCTGGTTGAGGGGAAGTACAGGATCCATGTGGGCTCTGAGGTTAAAAATCTGAAAGGAGGTAACCTCTAAAGGATTTTAAGCAGAGTGATCACAAACAGGAGCAACCCTCACTCCTGTCCTCACAGCAGCAGTTGGCATGAGGCCCCTCCCTTGAAATGGAAGAGTCTGGTACTTAGAGTAAGTTCTGGGCCTCCTTACACACACCAACAACCTACCCTATCCCCAGATGAAAAAAGGAAACCCAGAAGTTCCCTTGACCCCTCCCCGCCCCCCGCTCTGGCTCTAGGCAATGCTGGGTCCTCCCCCACAGAGCTGCCCTCATGCCTGGCCTCCACTCATGTTAAGGAGTGTTCATATTCACTCCAGGACACAGGAAGAACCAGGCGTCTCCCCCTAAGTAGTGCCCAGGAGTAGCTGTGTAAGCTGCCCTCCCCCTACCATGTACACACACACACACACACACACACACAGAGGCTCAGGTGGTGAAACTGAAACGAAAGTGGTGCCAAGACCCTTAACACCACAAACTTGTTCCTGGTGCTCTTCGTAGCTGTGTCTGCAAGGGCCTGATAACCAGTAATGGCTTTTGTCGAGAGGCCCAGGTGTTCTTTGTATACATGCCCAATGTACAGCACACTGGCCTGGTTCTCTGACTCCTGTGTCCACACAGAGATTGTGTCCCCCTTGGTGTGAATGTTGATGACAGCCCCACACACCTCCCTGCTGTGTTTCTCAAAGCTCTCCCTTATCAGACACAGCAGTGTCTCCAGCTAGAGGAGGTCCAGCTTGCTGTGGCGCTGATGCTTGGCAAGGCTGACCAGCCAGCGGCCACCCCACTTACTCCTGCTGTCTTCCACACGGGCTGGATGCCATCCTTGAACCGGGCATAGTCACAGCCAGAAGAGAGCTTACTGGCCAGCTGGATGTTACTGTACATCGCCCAGAAGCCCTCCATGGGTGTCAAACTTGGTGACCAGATGCAGGTTGTACTTCAAGGCCTGGCTGAAGTCATTCTTGAAGAACCACAGAGCCCACCTGTTCTGCAGGGGGTGCAATTCCAGCTCCACCTCTGCTGCCTGTATGGGGCCCTCATCACAGACCTTCCTCCTCGAAGGCAGCAAAACTGTGGAGGAGTTCAGAGCCCCCTTCTCCTCTTCTACCAACACCCCCACTGCTCCGCCTCCTTTTTCTCCTTCTCCCACTTTGGGATTCCACCCTCAGCCTGTCTCTTAGCAGCAGCTCTTCACTATCGGGCCTCTCTGCCATTAGGCAGCTAACTGGCCCAGCTCACAGCCAGTGTAGCAGCTTGCTCAGCTCTCATAGCTGCTCTCTCACAACAGGCCTCTCCTGCATCAGGCCTATCTGCTACTAACTGGCTTAGCACAGAACCAATGTAGCAGCTTCAGGACCACTTGGTTCCCATGTGGTTCTGCTTCTCTTCCAGCCCAGCACTTAGCCAGCATCTCTTTGTCAACCAAGACGCCTCTAATACCACTGTATTTTAGCTGTGTATGTATCCCAATCTTCATCAGTTACAAGGCGAGGCCTCCCTCACCAGATCAGAGTTCAACCAATCCTCAATTGCCCATGAGATGTCAATCAACTCAGGTCTTGTTAGTTACTAGAAAAAGGTCTCAAAGCATCCAGTTGTTTACAGTTTACCTAGGAAGTGGCAAGCAACCTGGGGAATCCCCTGAGCAAAAGTAACTAACCCTCTGGGGTAAAAAACAACCTGGAAGCACCAGTCCTTTCCCCCAAGCTGCTTCTCCAAAGAACTAGGGCAAAGGTAACAATTTCTCAGGATTTGGGGGAAAATTTCCCAAACTCTTTTTCCAAAGAACCAAGGCAAAACGCCACTCAACGGAACTCATAGCACCACAAAGCGGGATGGGAATAAATATTTACTGAAACAAAACCCCAAACTATTAGGTCCAGCATGCCCACATTCCACTCCTAGGTATACACCCAACAGAAATGAGTATACATGTGCACCAAAACAGGAATAAACATTCATAGCAGCATTATTCTTAATAGCAAAGAACTAGAAACAATCCAAATGTTCATCAACAGTACAGTGGATAAAGAAAATGTGCTATATCCACACCTACGTATATAGCAATGAAAATGAAAGAACACACAAAACACGATGACTCTCATAAACATAATATTCCTCCAAAGTAGCCAGACACAAAACAATTCGTATAAAATTCAATACACAAGCAGAACTAAATGATAAAAGTTTAGAGATACATACTTAAATGGCAGGTCTATAAAGAAAAATAAGGCAGATATTATCATGGACGTTAGAATAGTGGTTACCTTTGATGGTAGAGAAGTGATTGGCACAAAAGGGGAGATTCTGGGGTGCTGGCATGCTCTATTTCTTGATCCAGGTGGTGGTTTCGTGAATGTTTGCTTTGTAATAAATTGTACATTCTGTTTTTGTGCACTTTTTTTATATGTTATATTTCATTCTCTGCTTCTCCAGCCAGACTTCTTCAGTTATTGAGTCTGCTTAATTTCACTTTTCAGGGCCTTTGCACTTGCTTTGCCTTCTGGTTGGCAAGTTCTTCCTCCAGATCTTCCAAGGACAGTTTTATTCGGTTTTTGTCATTCAGGTTTGACTTCAAATGTACCTTATTCAGCTCTGCCTCTTCTATCCCTGGCCTCCAGCTTCCGCCCCCATCCTCCAGCAATTCCAGTTTGTTTCCATAGAACATATCCTTATCTGAAATTATATTTTGTTCTCGTTTACCTGTTTACTGTTTGGCATTCAGCTCTAGAATAAGTTCCATTACGTGCATGGACCTTGTCGATCTTGTCCTCATGCGTAATCCTGGCGCCTAAGGCAGTACCTGGCACACAATAAACAGTAAAACATTCAATTGAATGAATAAATCTCTTCACATTTCCATCGCATAGCACAGTGCCTGGCTCAGGGTTAGTATTTGTAGCACTTTATACCTCTCATTGGTATTTATCTCAGATAAGGAGAGAGCTAAATTAACGTTATTTATGGTCATCTTGAGCCCTGGTGGCACAGTGGTTAAGAGCTATGCCGAGCTACGGCTGCTGAACCAAACGGTCGACTGCTCCAATCCACCAGACGCTCCTTGGAATCCCTATGGGGGAGTTCTACTCTGTCCTATAGGGTCGCTATGAGTCAGAATCGACTTGACGGCATCGGGTTTGGCTCGATTTTGGTCATTTTTGTTCTTTCTGTGTAGATTCGAAACTGCTAGAGGCGTTTTCCTGGGGAACTAGCACATCCACAAATGTTACATGTGTTTAACACTTATTAAATTGAAACAAGGACGAGATTAGGGGAATTAACACATTTTGGAAAAAAAAAAAACAAGCGTCGCAGCAGCTGCGCTGGAAGACCCTGAAACGGCCAAGACGCACGACTTTGGTATGAACAACCCCCCACAACACGCGTAGGACCTCCACACGGTGCGCCAAGGGCCTTCCCGCCCGCGCCTTCCGCAGCTGGCTGTGCGCCAGCCAGGGAAGACTCTCACTGGGCCCCGCCCTGCCGCTCCGCCGCTGGAGCCAGACACGGTTCTCCAATGCTGGCAAGGGCTCTGGCCTCTCGCGCCTGCGCAGAGGGAAGAGGCAAGTGCCGCGTGTACGCCGAACGCGACCCGCGCCTGCGCGTCGGTATCTTCTCAGTGATTCGTTCCTACCCCTAAGGGTGATGCTACAGTTCAGTTTTCACTTTCTGTTTTATTTTTCTCCTTTTCCTTCGCCCGCGAGGTTTTACTTCCGGTTGCTTGCGACCGTCTGTGAGAAAGTCGACATGTTACCTGAGGCCGTGTAGCGTCACGGGGTTCTTTCTTTTCTGTAACCTTTTTGGGGAAGAACTGGAGGCTTTGCTGAGAAGCGCGGCGGACCTGATGCCTTCGAGTCTCAATCCCTTGACCCACCATCCCTCTGTCCTTTCAGCACCTTAGAGCGGCGTCGACTCGAGAGCTGCACAGAGTGGCCCAGGCGCGGCCGCCGAAACCCAGACTCGGGGCTTCCCCCTCTCCTGAGTCGTCCCCCCTTCTACTCGTAGTCATCTCCTCCCCGCGCTCTTGACCGAACGACAGAGAGAAAGGAGGATTGGCTGTATCGCGGACGAACTGCAACGTGAATAGGCTTGGGTTCTTTTGAGGTGGAATTCTGGAGAGCTTTTAAAAACTTGGGGTTGAGGTCGCCTGTTGGAAATTCAGCAGGAGGGGAAATTATAGAAGCTAGTCGAGGTCTTTATTGCTAACAAGAAGAAAGAGACGTCACTTTTTTAAATTCGAAAATATATGTGTGTCACATTTGGCCAGGAGGGACCGAGAGAAAGGAAGCACATGTGTGAAAGGAGCGGACAAAATCTAAAAGCATGGGAAAGAAATTGAACAATTATCTAAAGTCTTCAGGGGCGGCGGCAGCACAAAGTACAGGTAAATCTTCATCCGTTTTGGGGCGCTATGGTTTGTGCACCTGTGTAAGACGATTGGAAGGAAGGCGAAGCTCCAGTCGCCCAAGGCTAAATGCATGATATAGCTACTTGGGACTTTTGTAGTTGCTGTTGGTGGCTTTGCTGTTATACTTTTTAAATGGATTGGTTTTGCATGTTTTTCTTGGATGACTGATTAACGCGTTGACGCATGGTTGCTTCAGGGCTTCTAACAGGTTGTTCTGGTTGAACTCCCTGCCGAGAATTTGCCTTTCCATCCCAGATATACTGAATCACAATCTATATTTTAACAAGATCTCCCAAGTGATTACTATGTATGATAAGTGCTGTACAGTAGAGCAGTGGTTCTCAAAATTTATCATATGTAAGAATCACCTGGGGGTCTTGTTAAAATGTAGATTGTGAGTCAGTATATCTGGGGTGGAAAGGCAGCTTCTCAGCCAGGGGTCCAACCGGAATGAACCAGTTGGAAGCCCTGGTTTGCCCTGAGCTGGGGTGGAAGGGGTTGTGTTTTTCTGGAATCATCTCTGTTTTTTAAATAACTTGGCCTTTTGTAGCATGCAGCCATGCTCAATACTGCTAACATAGATCTTAATTGTTTCTAGGAGGTCACCATTTTACAAGTTCGTTTAGGGCTTCAAGGAACCCTGATGGCGCAGTGGTTAAAGCGCTCCGCTGCTAACTGTAAGGTTGGAGGTTGAAACCCACCAGCCTCTTCAGAAAGATGTGGCAGTGGGCTTCCGTAAAGATTAAAAAAACAAACCAAGCCTGGTGGGGTGGAGTGGATTCCGTTAATAGCGGCCCTGTAGGATAGAATAGAACTGTCCCATAGGGTTTCCAAGGAGCGGCTGGTGGATTTGAACTGCCAACCTTTTGTTTAGCAACCAGGCTCTTAACTAATGTGCCATCAAGGCTCCCTATAAAGGTTACAGCCTTGGAAATCCTGTGGGACAGTTCTACTCTGTCTTATAGGGTTGCTATGAGTCGGAATCGACTTGATGGGAGCGGGTTTATAGGGCTTCAAAATTCAGCTTTCTTCACCTTTTGGAGTCCAGATAGTCTAGAACAGTTTAAGCATTTCATTTGAGTTACTTGTCAAAAGACAGCTTCATCCGCATGGGTGTTAGAAAATACGTGGCAGATTTCGCTCGTTATCGTTTGGACTGGCTGGAAAATTTTCTATGGTTTTTTTTTTAAATTGTGGTGAAAATATATACAACAAAACTTGCACCGATTCAGTAATTTCTACGTGTATTTTTCAGTGACATTGATTACATTCTTCACCTACAGGCTCTTTATGAAAGTCTGCTACTCAGATTTCTTTCTTTAGAGTCTTCAGAGCAGTGCTTGACCTTTTTTTTTAAGTAGGTGTAAAAGGAAGAGGTCTATCCACATGGAAGATTATTTAGCAAAATAATTAATGCATAGGGAATGTCATATGTTGGCCTGTGCAACTCTGCATTTTGTCTGAAGGTGGCACTAAACAGCATTTTGTGGGAAAACGTGGCACATTAACCTCAAAATTTGAGGAAGATTCTTTGGAAATCCTCAAGTTTTTCTTAATCACCACTTGTTTATTTGAAATCTGTAAGTTTAAATAAGCACCTCTTACCCTGCTTAATTCTCTCTGTAAGATAAAATTAGAATGGTAAAGTTTATGAAAAGTACTGAACCAAATATATGTTATTATTGTAGTTTTAGTGACCCGAGGGCCCGCAGTGTTGCAGAAAAAGCATAGAAGAATGGAAAAAGGGGAGGATTGTGGTATTTGATATTATAGGATGTGAGACTGGTAGTAATCCTACCCACCAGGTTTGTTACAAAGCAAATGTTCCTTATCGTTAAGAGTACTCTTCTGTTGAAAAACTGCCTTGTAGAATTGGATAGCTCTATACAATATCTTCAATAAATATCTAATGCAGGTCAGAGAAAAAAGGTGAAAATATGAGAGTAATTATTTTAAGAAAAAGACAATGTTTGAACTGTTGTGTCTTGTATATCTGTAGAATTTATTCCTTGTAAGAATGCTGGATGATATTCTTCTAAATTGTCCTCGAATGATAGTACTCTTTTATATTCACTGTCTGAAAAGGCATGTTTCTATCTCCCTGCTAGCCATCACTGGATGTTAACAATATATATTTGTTTATATTTTGTCAATATAGTAACTGAAAAGAATATCTCATGAGTCGGAATCGACTCGATGGCAACAGGTTAATGGGTTTTGGTGAATAAGAAAGTTGAACATTTTGCTAGTTCATATCCTTTGCTCATTTTTTCATGGGTTCTGAATGGATTTCTCTTCTTTGATCCATTTACTTATTACCATACTGTTTTAATTATTGTAGCTTTATCATATATTTTGGTACCTTCTTTTTAAAAAAGTTGTGGGCTCTCCTTTTGCATTTTCTCTTTCAGGTGAAATTTAGAATCATCTTTTTACAAAAAGGCCTACAGAAAGTTTTGTTAGGGTATAGTTTTTGATTGCATTGAATTTATAATTTAGAAGAGAGGGCTTTTGGAGTTTTTCCTTCTGGGAAAATAGGCTTATCTCCCTGTTCTTTTAGAATTTTTGTCGTGAAATACGTCATTGAGATGCACAGTTTTTAAAAAAAAGAATTTGTGTACACTACTTAATAGAACTTCACAAGTTCCTTAGAAGCCCTTTGTGTGCCTCCGTCTTGAAACAAAGCATTTCCCACCTCCATCGCCATGGTTATCCTGGATTTTGTCTTAATTATTGCTTGCTTTTCCTTATATTTTTATCACTTATATGTGCCCTTAACCAACATATTGTTTACTTTTGCCTAGTTTTGAGCTTTATTTAATTATATATTCTGTGAGTTGCATTTGTCTGGCATTGTTTCTTAGGTTCATCCATGTTGAAGTGTGTAATTCAGTAAATCAGATACTTTTTGGTCTCAGGATTCTGTTACACTTTTAAAACCATCTTAAATATTAAAAGTGATAAAATTTTAAAATATATATTTATTGCTACATTTAAAAATAGTAGTAAACCTACTACATCTTAACATAAATAACATTTTAATGAAAATTAACTGTTTTCCCAAACAAAAAAAATCAGTAGTGAGTTGCATTGTTTTATGTTTTTGCAAATATCTTTAAAATCTCATTTAATGATTGGAGTTTCATGTCTGTTTCTGCATTCAGTCTATTGTAATATATTGTTTTAGTTGAAGTATGTGAAGAAAATCCAGCCTCACCCAGCTGTATAGTTGGAAAAGGGAGGAATACTATAGCTTTTTCAGGTAATTATAAATATTCTTCTTTGATACTCATCAAAACCTAACAGTTTAGATTAGCTGCAGTGTAGCATTTCAGACCATAATCAGACCACATCAATGGACTTTTCATATTCTGTGATGTTAAAATTCTTTGGTCTGTCTTGCACTGTGAAGGAATCTTTCACACACACGTTGATCATTTGGAAAATATTGGCTCACTGAATTATGCAGATTTTAATGATGACACATTTCATAATACAGTATTTTAAAAAATCATGTACATTAGCATCACCACTGTGGGAACCACTGCTGTATTTTATTCTGTATAAACAGCCAAGTTTGGGCCATTAAAATTAGTGCTGCCATAACATTCTTGTTCACGTCTTCAAGTAGATATACCGTAAAATCTGCAAAAACTGAAACCTGTGTAAGGGGGAAACCGGTCAGAGAAGGAAAACTCAAATATTTTCCCCTATAAATGAACGTTAGAGAAGCAGTGACTGCATCCCGTCACAGGCATAGATCTTGTGAGACCTGGAAAAACAAAGCAATCTCATCGAGCTCCAGATCTCACAGATTTCATTGTACAGTATATAGTACTTTTACTAGGGCAAATTAGTAGTGGAATTGCCGGGTCACTGGAAGAATATATGCATGTTCAACTTTATTAGGTAATGTAACTTTGCAAAAATGATAGTTTTGAGTTATACTCCACCAATGGTGAATGTAGCCTCTCTTTGCTCCCCCTTCTCTCCACATATGGCATTATCCAACTTTTAAATTTTTGCCAGTCTGGTGGAAGTGAAATAGTATACTATTGTAGTTTTAAATTGCATTTTTATAATTGGATGACTTAAAGAAGTTGGTCATCTTTTCATATGTTAATTGTCCATTGAATGTTTTCTTCTGTGTAATGTTTAATCATTTTTTTCTACCTTTTTTATTGGGTGATTGTTTTTTCTTATTAAATTGTAGGAGTTTAAAATATATATACAGCGAAACCTGTGAGAGCCAGAACTTCACAAGACTGTCTTGTTTTTGCAGGTCTCTCAAGTTTTCTGCCTTTGACAGAGTACAGTCTTAACCACTTTTCTATCACTTGTTTTAGTGGAAAATATTTGAGTTTTCCTTCTCTGATAGGTTTTCACCTTACACTGGTTCTGGCTTTTGCAGGTTTTACTGTATATACAAGTTGATAAGCTCTTCTTGTTGATAAAAAAATATTAAATTTATTTATTTAAGCAATTAAAAAGTATGTAAAGGTAACATCTCTTTCTTCCCTGTAGCTATCTAACCCAGTCCCCACTTCCCTATCTCCTGTTGTTAGCTGATTTTGAGTCAGTCTCTGACTCATGGCAAGCCCATGCACAGTGGAACTAAACGCTGCCCAGTCCTGTGCCATCCCCATAATTGGTTGTGGTTTGGACCAGTGTGATCCATAGGGTTTTCATTGGCTGATTTTCAGTAGATCACCAGGCCTTTCTTTTTTTTTTTTTTAATCGTACTTCAGGTGAAGGTTTACAGAAGAAATAGTTTCTCATTAAACAGTCAGTACACATATCGTTTTATGACATTGGTTAACAACCCCACGATGTGTCAACCCTCTCCTTTCTCGTCCTTTTTTTTTGTGAAAATATACATAGCCGAAATATACATACAGCATCCATTTCAAAAATTTCTACATGCACAGTTCAGTGACATCAATTACGTTCTTCCAGTTGTACTTCTGTTCTCACTT